ATAGTTCACTTCTCCGAGCCCCAAGGCTTCGCTTGCCGGTTACTATCACTGAACAGCAGATCTTCATGACTATGGGGTTCTCCCCGTTTGCTGTTCATCAAACACTGGTGTGTAATGAAAAAATAATTTTATCGTCATTGTGCATCACAACAATCTACTCCTAATATGACTTTCTAAAATGCAAATCAAGATACTTCAGCGACATTCAATTGAGTAGTGCACGTGTGAGAATGGCATTAAGTGAGGTACCAGATGGGTATACATTCATGAGTAGCGAGTACCGCGAAAGTGGTTATGCACTTCCGAGAATTTCCGTCCCTTCATTCACGTTCCGCTTTCTATCTGCTTGGGAGCTGCAACCTAACGCATTTTTACTCTGCCTCGTGCTTTTTCATGGTTATCACATCTGAAATCATCCTAACTATTCTAAATTTTTCCCGCCGTACTCAGGCTCAGCAATTGCTTTCGCGATTGGGCGTTCGCTCAATTCCTAACCTCACAGATTATGAGGTCGGTATTGCTGTAAATCTGGTCGATACACGCGTCCTGACCACGGACTGGGACTCTATCGGTGGTCTAGATCCCATCATAGAGGAGATACAGGAATCTGTGATTCAACCATTTCAACAAGTCAAACTTCTTCCTTATCCGTCACGCCTACTCAAACCCCCCAAGGGCGTCCTTCTGTTTGGGCCACCGGGTTGCGGAAAGACAATGCTGGCTCGAGCCATGGCTCGTGCTGCTAACGCGTACTTCATTAATTTACAGGTGAGTCGTCCACATCTTTTTATTTCACATCATATTCACATATGCCGGAAGAAAAACATGTGCAGATTAAGCATGTTTTCCGTAATTTCTGGATAATAGGCAGCCAGTCATGTCCTGTCTGATCCAATTTTCTCCAGAAGAAGAGTCTCTTGAGCGTGAACGAGCAGATTTACTAGTCATTAGATAGAAATATTGAGTGCTCACATATATACGTAGTAGCCATTAACCATTTCGAAATTTATTCACGCTCTGTTCCTCTCGGTTTGTGATGTACATCACTGATTAAGAAATTCACTCACTCCGGCTGGTTCTCCTGTGTGACGCAAAGATTTAAACGTTCAACGAGTATAATAAATATAGACTCGGCAATTCATTACACGGGTCTGGTGGATCAATCGGCCAAACAATGCCGAGGTGAGACGCANGAGGTAAGTGCTTGACTTACATCGGCCACGTTGACTGGAGCATCTATTACGCGTGCCATCAGATAGGCTCCCTCAGTGTGACCTGTATAGTGAAACCCGAAATGGGTTGAAAAAATCAACGGTGGTTTAACTATGATGTTACATGTGGTTATGAATCAGTATCGTTGCTTCAGTTTCCGGAATAACATAAGCATCAGTAATACAGACCATACTCTTCATTGATCATATTTCCATGGGCGAGACGCGGATTACTCATCTGCTTTTGGCCACCTATAGAAAAATGTCCCCGTGACTCACGCTTGTCCGCACCCATCGCGACATGACGGGTCGCGCGTGTTCACATCCAAAAAATGAATAGTTGTGGAACAGCCCCGGAACCATGATGCATGCCCCAACCTAGTATACGGCATTATCTGGCATTTGTTCTCTTCTTGATGGGTGTTGGTTCACATTCGATGCTGACGTTTGTGGTGTTGCATTTGGGGGAGGCTGGGAGTCGGACAGAACGGTGAGTGCGTCATTCACATGAAATTGTATGGATCGCAGTTGTCACCTTGGCTTCTATCTGGCAATCAGGCTGTGTCTACCCCTAAATTTAGACCGAGTCAACGCCCAAGTGTTTTGCCAAGCCTGCACCGAAAGTGACAGCCTGTGGACCTCGATCCACGTCTTATCCGCTCTAAGACGACAAACCAAACAGACAAGCATACATATGAAGAAAGTCATCGATTTTGCAGACAGATTCTGGAAAGCAGGCATAATCCGCTGGTTCCCATGATCACCGCTACGTGTGATCACAGCATGACTTTCTCGCCCTGGTCGTCCGAAGCTCCTTTTTGTACGTTAGAGATGTGTCTAACAGAGAACAAACGAACCCATAAAGTCACGCCTTCAACTGTTCGAAAATCGACAATAAACAGTTGCCGAGATCTGGGTCTGTCTGATTGATGGTGACCACTGTTTTCATAATAGCGGATGAGTTCAACCCTACACTTTAAAATCGATTTATTGTGTTTTGCGAACTGCGTGTATTGCTGTTTCTCGCCAATTGTCTCTTATCTTGGTTGCACAACGCATGGTTCAGATCGGTGCATATCGCGACTGATTTCATAATATGCTCTGTCATGGGTAAAAGTTGCATCCATTACTTTGCCGGCTTCCAAAGTCCCAGGACTTAAATCCCCGGTTGTGATAACCATAAAACGAACCCTGAGGTTTATTTGTAGTCTTCGTCCCTGCTACTGTGATTCGAACAGTGGAACATAATTGCCAAAGAAAAATGTGCGCTATAATTTCCTACTGGATTGAGAAGGATTTCCCACCCCGCCTATTTGTGTGTTAGAGAGAGCATATCATTTTGCGTACATTTATTGTACTGTTCTTGAAAAGATGGATAACTACAAGTAATTTCCCCCACAATGTTGCACCTTATCGAAACCAGGGACTTGCACTTTCATGATGTTAGTACTGTCTACATTTTAGCCGTTATCTGTGTGTTTTTCACACACGTCGGAATCCAGGCATTGTGGCAAAAGTACGATAGTTTTTATAGAAAAGAGAATATTCTATGATTTGTTTGTGGGCGGAATACCGTCTGATTTCCCAGCCAAAAGCAGATGAATTTTCTTGGTGAACTTTTAATGGGAGCCCTCAACTAACCAAAATCTGACCCGTAAGGCAGCGGGGCGGTTTGTGAAAATCATCTATTGGAGGCCGGTGTCCAGCTCATCGGATCATCCGCCCTTTGGACGGGATCAGGTGTCTAAAGTGCCCAATAAATCTCGATGACCAATCGAAACGGTGACAACTGCCACAACCAAGGTGTGGGTAAGTGCGATTCTTACGCCTCTTAGTTGGTTTGGAATCAAGATTTTTAACAAACTCCCCTGAGTGAACTGTCATGGGTTCACCGTCCCGGTTTTAACCCCGTATATTGGCTTTTGATCTTCTTACTTTGGTGGAAATCACCTCCGTCAGAGAACGCAGTGAGTAGGGTTTCCTCAGCAGAGTCTGTTTGGGACGTTTGTCGTTTAGGAGCATTATCGATGTGCATCGGAAGGGTGACCAACCACAACTTAAGACAACCCCTTCGACCATATTGAGGCTTCTAAGGGTCGCTCTCTCTTACCCGAATCAAAACGAGCACTATCCTACGAATACGGATTAAAGCTTTCCTCTGTGAATGAGCTATTTGAGTTTGCACGTAGAGAAGGATGTGTTATAGGAGAAATTCCATATACCCCCAGAGGTTTTGTAGCTTGTCTAAAACACCCGGCTCTGTCCACATAGATCATAAACCTTCACTTGTGTCAGTCCACCTTGTTGGTCATTATTCACCAGACTAATTGTCAGATGTTGATATTGTTGATGGAAAACTTCTGAGTTCGTGCAGAACAGTTAGTTCGTTGTTTGTCTCCTTGTTCAAGGCTTTTACGTCTCGGCGTATGTTATCGTTGCCATATTGGAGCTGGTAAGTGAACTATGGAATCATAATGTTTCTAATAGTCTACGGGAAATGCTCAATCGAATATGATTTCCAACCGAAATTTCTCTATTTTTCAAGTTTTTTCTCAGTCTTCCATGATATTCTTGTTGAAAAAAAAAATCAGGAGATTTTTCAACACTTACTAAGTTTTATTTGAAGACTAAATGAGCTTAGGTCGCCGATTGCACAGTGAAAATGTAGACCTTTTTGTTAAATCCATCACTTATTAAGTGATCGCTGCGACGATCAGTGAGCGATGATGGCCCGGTGGTAACGTTACCAAATCATCACCCCGGAGTATGCTTGGTCGAATTCCACCACCACAACCGTCTAACTTGCCCCATTGTGTGTTGTATGGCTGACCTTTGAATCACCTCTTTCCCCTTCCTGAAAATTGTATCATTGTGCATTCAATAAGAGGAAGTAAAAGTGAAAAGAAGTTCCTGCTGACAGTTACCACAACAGTGTCACTTTGACCAGTCAAATCCTCTTTAACTTCAATGTATGGTTGTTCATTACTCACATTCTCGGAAAATCATTACCTAGGAATTCGCTGTGATTTCTATTCGACCCCTTAGTTCATAATAATGCATTAAATCAAAACCGAGGCTATAGCGTATTATGAGCTATGCGTAAAAGTGAATCTCATCATAAGCCATAGAATCTATGCATATTTCGTTCGAGTGAATCAACACAGTTGAATTGAACAGTATCTAGCCCTACCCCGGTGATCGGTAATCAAATATTTCAATGATTCATCCAGGCGCGACTTGAACGGATCAACAACTGAAGTACATACAAGTTTTAAGTGGAATAGTGTGTTTCCCCAGAGGAGTAATGGGGGCATCAACATTCGGGGATTTCGCTAAGATGGGCATTTAAGGATACTGTGAGTAGTTTCATTTAGTACTAGATACACAGGAATAATAATTCCCATAATTTAGCGGCATTGACACGAACATAGTTCCAATAATTGTATTCTTACAGTGCGTGTCTTGGGTTAGAGTCTTTTAGCAATTTTGGTTTCTGTTCTCTGCAAACATTCTAACGCCTTTGTTGTCACATTTGTATTCCTGGATAACCAATATGAATGGCGTACTCGATGTGCTGTCAAATTGATTGACACAACACCGCATTATGTTGGACCACTTTACGGCCCGGTTTGGTCTTCGAATGTTTTCTTTAATTGCACTAGAAAAACAAATATTATCATTTACCCCGTCTTGGTTTTTTATATGTTTGTATATGTTGGCATTTGCACACCAGCATCAGGGTAAATTGCCTTCAATAGTCCATTTTTTCTATTCACGGAGTTTTTGAAGTTCGCTTGTGCGCGTTTCATCATCGGCCGAAGTGACTCCTTCCCTTCTTTTAATACAGTCGTACATGGCTGTTGATGGAACTTCGACTAACCAGTTCGACCAGCTGAACAAACAAGCGAAATTGAGTCTGCTCGACCCTAGCCACACCAGCCAATTTCCATTGCTATATAAATTTTGTATTATGGAAACTCTGTCGTAGAGAGGGATTTCTGTACTCAACAGGCTGATCAATTACTGAATTTGTTTGTGTCATTCCCCACCCAATGCACTATTACAATCGGTTTTCCATCTGGGAAATCGATTTTGGGTATTAGGAAAACGGTTTGAATAATGAGTTGTGAACTGTAAATTAGCCCAAGGCTGGGACAACTGGTTCGTGTTCTCTCTCTCTCTCGCTGTCTCTCCCTGGTTGTTTTTTTTTCTCACGCATTGCAATCATTTATTCTGTTCTGAGACAACATCCTATTTGATCAGACACACGCCAACCGTCTATCCTGTCCCGATCGAAACGCAAGGTTGCTCGATTGCGGCGTGTGATTGTTGGCCCTGTTCACGTCCGGATTGGAAAAAGTGAAACACTTGTTCGGTCTGGTTGTTTCATATCTGTCCGCTTGCGAGTTGTGCGCGAGTGCGTCGGATAACGTGTTAACATCACTGTGAATTCAAGTTTTATGAGAGAAGAGGATGCGGCAATTGTTTTGTATACCATCAGCAATCACTCATAGGCCTGTGTGTCTGCAAACTCATATAAACTGTACAATAAGTGGTCCTACGAAAAACGTTTACTTATGGCCGTAGCGTTCCCCACTTGGACATAGTTGTTCTCCAGTTGATCTGTGTATGCGCCGTTTGTTATCACTACATCTGAAAGCGATTCAGTTCAATTCAAAAGATATTTTCTTCATAATCTCGAGATGTATGCAATCCTCAATGATGTGTCGGTTTACATACCTAAATTTACCGCCATGTGAGTATGGTCAAATTCAAATTTCAAATTTTTACTATGGGATATAACTTACAAAGACTTCGCTTTTACAAATCCCATAGGGTGTTTACACATTGGTTCGGATGAAGAATCACAATATCACAGTTAGTCCATGAAAGTAAAGTAGTAAAGTAATGTTTTGACGAGCACAGGAGAATATGTTATGTAGTTGGGTGTT